CCTGCCAACTCCCCCTCCATTTCCTCCAGACTCTCCCGCAAGCGCCTCATGTGTTCTGCGAGGATGACAAATTGCGCTCAATGCACAAGCAGAATGCCACAAAGGCGTTCAATTTTCCTGTGGAAAGAAGCAGGATAAGCATGTGTTGGTGCGCAATGCATCTCTTACACCACGCAGGGCTCAGGACGCGGTGCAATGCTCACACTCATACTTGAACTGGCGCAGGAGGTGCGCCGAGTTGTGCGAGATCTAATATACAGATAGTGAGATAGGGGCAACGTCTTGCCAGCAAAAGGATAATATGATATCTGTGCCCGTCTGCGCAAGATGATACTTGAACGCAGTAGGGATTGATAACGGAATAAGGGCCAGTGGCCACCATCTACAAAGGTGGGGCAAGCTTGGCCAAGCGGACCATGTGTCCGTCCAAGTTCCAAAGGAAGTGCTCAGCATTGTCCTCAAAAAGCAAAACTTGGTGGAGAGCATCGACTCCAAAAATGAAGTCGATTTTGTGCTTCTCTGCGACTGGAGCGAAGCTGTTCCAATGGTCGTAGAGACCGCGCAAGACCGAAAAGTTGTCCGGCTTGATCAGTAGCATCACCAGCTCAAGCTAGAAGACCCCTACAACTCAGCAGTGACTATCACTTCCGCTTCAAGCTCCTCCAAATACCTCCTGAAACTGCTGCAAGCACAAGCTCGCACCAGCTTTGTGGATGGCATCACAACCTACGGACAATCTGCCCTTGATGCGCTTCTCAATGAAGGGGGCCTGAGCTGTCTCCCAACAAGCGCACCACAGCAAGTTGCCAGAGTTGGCATTGTCTACCACATCCTGCTTTGCAACATGAACCCTGACGAAACTGGCGCCCACTTTGTGGGCTCCACTTTGGATCTACAGACAGCATCATTTTGTGCACACTGTAGAGTGGTGCCACAGTCATACAAGTCGCTTCAGAGCAGGTTGCCTTCTACATGTAAGCTGAGCCCAATTCTCTCTTGGAGGAGGTTGCTGTGTGGGCAGGAAACCAGCTTCTCTTTGACATTCTCACCAGGGCAAAGGCACTCTCTGAGCTACCAGCTATCCTCTCGTCACCAGATAGCAATGTCAATAAGCACCTAGTCAAGAGAGCAGATCAGCTACCATTTGATCTGATTGACAAGGCTGGCCAACTGCAAATT